CATCCTGGGGTCATGGGGGATAGGACCTCCGTACATTTGGGAGGTACACAATTCGCCCCACAGCAGACACTACATGCCAGATGTGGGGACCAGGCCACTTCCTTTGGTTCCGACACTCTCTCCATGAAGCAGATCAGTGGCTCTCGACTCACTATCTGTGACAGCACATAGTATCGTCTGTAGAGTTCGCTTGTTCATTTTCAACAAATTCCTGCCTGGTCCCGCTTCCCAGAGATTCCAATGGGGTGGATTCAGGCTGGGAACCATTTAAAAAATAAAAGAAAGAAGTAAAGCTTCATAAGAAACTATAAAACTCATCCAGGAATAAGAATCAATGAGATCAATCTTAATAACAATGCTGTAAATTAAGACATGAGGGCAAAACGAGGCGAAATGTGATGTCCACAATTTGCTCAAGACATAGGTGGAAGAACAGGTTTTTAAACCCAGGTCGGTCTCACTCAAAGTCCACCTCCTTCCCACCCCTATGCTGCCTATCTGTGTCTACCCGTCCCCAGGCAAGCGCATGGCTCTCAATCGAGTGCCTCTCCACAGTGATGTAGGCAAGTGTCTTTTACGTGTGAAAACAGGTGTGTGCTGGTACGCGTTCTATGGATGATTAGTGAAGGTGGGCGTTTCTTCAGGAACTAATATGTATTTGGCTCAACATCCTATAGAGTATACCCACTAAACTATGAGGCTGTCACTTATAACTGTCACCTGTCACGCTCAACTTGGTCTGAAGTTTCTGGTACTGGGTACTCAGCCATAAACACTTGTACAATGAATGAATGAAGAAATTTCCATCTAAATAAATATCATGAAACAAGAGCAATCCTAGCTGGGAATTTTATTTCAGTCGTGTCCGTCCCCCCCCCCTCGCCCCGTAATCATGACGGGAAACAGCAATCCTTCTGCTCCAGTTTCATTACTTTCAAATCCCCGTCTCCTCTTCAGACCAGAAAAAGAAACAGTTACTAATTTGGGGACTGTCACTGATTGGGGAACAACTTTAATCCCATTACATATCTACTCACAGACACTCTACAGTATTAAATGTTGTCACTGGAGAATATAAAAGAGGAAGAATTTTAAAGGTTGTCTGGTCCAGCCCTGAAGCTCCAGGGCACATTCTCCTGTAACAGTCTTCATGTTCTGTGTCATCACTGTCTTGCTTGCAATGCCCTCCAATGTCAGCCCCCAAATATCCATCCATGTATGGCAGCAGGAGGTCCTGAATTTGCAGGATGGCTTTGCTTTTCAGTAGACCCTGTAAGCTGGGGTGATGGTTTCCCATTAATGTGCCAGCACCATTAACAGCAGCCACCTTCACCCTCAGATCTGTCTTGGCTTAGACAATATGGTCACCTTGATAAGCACACAGACATTTATAACATGGGCTCCAAGTTTCAGTTCAGAAAGCATGGAGACAGACACACACACACAACCCCCCTCCACTCCATCCTTATCTCCAGTCTTACCTAACGCATGCCCTTGGGTGCACTCACGCATGTCTCGAGATCGCCTCCTCCCTGCACAAAACTTGTTCCTGCCCCTGAATTTGCTCGTCTTCCTTTCCCTGCCTGAAATGTTCTCCTTCCCTCTCTTCTTATGTAAATCTTACCCATCTTTCAATACTGCATTCAAGCCCCACTGCCATGAAGCTGCCTCTGTCTCAACCCACGCTGATTTCTCCCTTCTCTCAACTTCTACCCATGACATTTGCTTTACTAAAATAGGGTAAGGAGTGAATGGCACCTCTTCCATGATGGATTCTGCCCGCACTTTGTTTAGAAGCCTGCAGGTAGCACCTGGTTATGGTAATTTGGTCTCAAACCCAACAGGTTGTCTTTCTTCAAAGACGGTTCATTAAAAGAAATGAGAATACATAATCTATTTACACATGCTCTTTTTCCCCCCTTACAAAACTGTGGTTCAATTCTAAGAAACCTGCAAACAGAACATTTAAACTGGAGGCTGTCCTGGAGATCTCCTTGCCTAACCTCTCACCCAAAGCAGAGGCACACCCAACTGCAGCCTGAAACATGGCCGCCCAACTTACTCGTAAACACCTCCTTCAAGCCCGCCTCCCCAGGCACCTCGTTCCCGTGCTGACCGTCCAAGCTCTGACTGTTAAGCTTCTTCCTTATAATACGGTATTTCTCAAAGTTAAGTTTGTGGACCATCTGTACCATAATTATCTGAGGTGCTTGTTAAAAAATTACAGGTTCCCAAGTCCAACTCCAGGCATACTGAATCTGCATCTGGAGCAAGGATAAAAAGAGTCATCTACGTTGTTAACAGGTTTTCCAGGTGATGCTTATCATACCAGAGTGTAGGACCCACTGGTAGAGTCAGTGGATTCTATATTTAGAACTTGGTTCGACCTTCCTAACAGCAGAGAGCAAGACACTCCCCATTTCTTCATAGCAGCTCTTCTAATGCTGCAAGATGTCCGTTCTCTCTCCTTTCCCTCAGCAACACTCTTGCAACCTAAGTTATTTCACTCTTCCTTCTACCACAAAGTACCCTGAACTAACCTCGGCACACTCCCCTGGGCCCTCTCTTTGTCAATGTCCATCTCAGAATGTGATGCCAAAATGACGTAGAGTGAGCTAGATTTCTAATACTTTTACTACATATGGACAATTTTGTGAAGCGTTATCAACTTACACTCCGACCAGCTGACCACAAGGATGACAATTTTGGTCGAAACTATTTGACAGCAAGTGTTATCAATGTGTAAGTCTTTGTTAACAGGCACATGACGTTGACGCCTCTTAGTTATTTTAATTTGGGCCTTTGTTTGTATTTTTCACGTATATATTGGCCAGTGGTAGTTCTTTGATGAATTGTCTGCTCTTGTCCTCTCTTGGGTTTTTTTTTCCCCTTGTAAATTCATAATGTCCCTGGCTGTGGCAAGTAAGTCCTTTCAATGCAATATCTCATCTAATCTTCAAACAACATTTCTACCACTTTACAAGTATAGAAACAGCCTTCAGGAACTTATAACAAGGAAACAGTTAGGTCTTCAGCTTCCTCACTGATTTATTCCTTCCTTTAATCAATGTTTTTTTTTTGGAATATATCTTCATCTTCAAGACACTTTGTACACTGAATTAACAGAGTCAAGAATTTGGGATGAAATTATGAGGAAGGTTCAAAAGAACATTAGAAATTTTCACAGCTCTATTAACTCCTTTCATTTCCCTCAGATTTCTTTTTTTCTGGTTACTTTTTCTGGCCTAAAGGTAATAGTGACCAAGTTATAATCAGTTAGTGGATAGCAATGCTATTTACTGATACAAGGTTTAAGGAGGATATATGTATCTGTTTGCATTTTTGGCAAGAGAGTTAACGTGTGGCTGACCCTAAAAAAGCACCAGAAAAGGATCAAAGGGAGTAATTTGGAAATAAGGCAGAACTCCAAAACAAATTACAGTCCATCAGCTGGCAGTAGCATCGGTAGATAATAGTTCAAAAGTACATGCAAGAAGGACTGGCTTTCATTTTTTTCCATTTTATATTATCAAGACCAGTGTTTATGCAATTAACTAAGATCCTAATGTTAATTCATCATTTATAGCCTGTTAGTCCAAACAGCTGAGCTTCTCTTGGTTTTGGTTAACTTCATCAAATTTCATGCAATTATACTTTAATTGAAAATACATATGCATAAAGTTGAAATGATATTTAAATCAACTGAATTTACAACCAGATTCAAAGAAATGCAAACAATGAAGATCTGAGTTGGAAGCAAAATTAACTTAATCCTACCCCATTTTTCTACCTTGAAGGGAGCCCACACCCAAAGGTCAGGAGTTCTCAATGTTACGCACCTAGTGGTAACACTGAGATTCAGATCCAGGTATCCTGATTTTAATTGAAAGTCTATACAGCTGGGCCTTTAACAGACAATTATTCTCAACCTCAAACAGAAATTGGTCTTCCAAAACTCCCATAAAGTTTTCCAAACAAAACCTCTAAACTAGGCGTCAAACAGCTAGCGGGATTTTTAAAGATCTTCGTTCCCCAGCTTTGTGATTTCAGGCAGCCTGATAAAAGTCCCGGGGACTATATTCTTCTATAAACTTTAGCAGAAACTTAATTTCTTCCTTACTTGTTATTAATAGAAATATATTCATTTGCAACTCCTAGGTTCTACATTTTGCCCCAAATCTTTCTTTCACATAATAAACACAACCATAAGAAACAAATATTACGTCAGTTATGATGCCCATTTCCTCCCCCTCTCCCCAAATACATCTTTTCTTTCTTCTTTACTATTTTAAGTTTCCCATGACTCTCTTTTCGGACCCATACTTTTAAACTACACAAAAATTTTCAGTTCACTTTCTCAACACTAAAATTTTAGTTCCTCCCAACTTACTGCCTGGCAACCATGCTCTTTTCACAGAACATAAAGAGGATTTAACATTTAAACAGACTGTTCCAAACAGGGACAAAGCAAATTTTAAAAAGCAAAAAGATACTCTTAACATAGTTGACTGCTGATCATTTATATAGTTTCTAGAATTTTATCATCTGGAGCTTAGTCTGAATTACTTGTTAGCCTACACCCCCCACCAGACAGGTGTTCGTACCCATCCGCAACTTCACCCTCCACCCCGCACACTCCCTTACGAAGAAAGCCCCCTCCCACAGAGACACAGACACCCCTTTCTGAGAGACATCCCCTCAGGCACACTCACCCACCCTGCACCCGCAACACACAAACAGAAAGACACCCTGGGTATCATCCGAAAGGAGCACATTATCCCAAGTTTCAGCCTGCACAGCCAAGAAAAAAACCCGAAACCATTCAAACTGACCCCCTGAAAACCATGCTAACTTGATAAACTCTGTCAGCTCTCACAAGGGACACGCTCTTTCAAACCTCCTTGGAAATCCAGCCGTAGGGACCCCCGCTGCCCTCAGACTCCACCGGGAAGGCTCCCCCCAGCAAGGTCCGCACACAGAGGTCGGAGGCGCACACTCACCGCGAACCGGACCTGGCAGTTCTCCTCGCCCAGGTAGCACAGGTCTCCCGAGACGTTGGTCTCCAGCCACAGGTGCTCCCCGTTCACGGCATTCTCCTGGAAGGACAAGACCCACCTGACTTCAATTTTCTTTTCAGGCATAAAAGGAGCTGGAGGGGGAGGGGGCGGGGGCGATCTCAAATTTAAATTCTGGATGCAAGAAAGTTCGGGAACACAAGGGGTCTAAACGCCTCTCATTTTACCTCTGGAAATTCTGCTAATGTTGGCCCTAGCAAAATTCTAGAAATGGAAAAAGGTGTTTGGAAAAACTGTGAGCAATAACTAAGACGTTAGCTCTCTAGATGCGTTATCCATGGATGTAGTCACCTTTGAAACAGATATTAAACAAATGAGGAAAAATCCCTCGGGTTGTTCAATGTAGGGCCTTAGTTATCCAGGCCCACTGCAGATTCCATGACAATTGAGACCAAAATTCTACTAGAAGTTGCCTTTCCTTAGCAAATTAGCTAAGAAGGATAGTAGTAATAAAGTATTTTAAAGACTGAAAATCTATATCAGTAATGAGTAAATCATATTTCTAAACAAGGGGCTTCTTAAAACTTAGTTTTCAGTCACTGTGTAGTCAAAGCATAGTAAGTTTCTACTAATTCAAACATTTTTTTTTACCAGTTCAATAGGGCCTTTGCCGAATCCTAAATTTTTCAAATTGAGTGATTTCCCTGCTTCTAAAAATCTTCACATACTTGTGGTGGCAAACAGAACAGCTGTAGGTTTGGAACCCTACAAGTTTCAGATATTGATGGATGAGAACAATATATAAATAATTAATTAATTAAAAGCCATTTCTTTGCTAAGGTATCCTAAAAAAGTCACTCTCCACAAACTGAAATATTCTACTGCTGGGAACTTATCCAACTTTAACTTATAGCCATTTATAGAATAAAATCCCTTTTCATTCTTTTATTCTTTAATTAACTCAGTAAACATTTATTCCACACCACTGGTGCCAAGCACTGGGTAAGTGTGATAAATCCATGAAGTAAAATCTACCAGAGAACATGGAAACTAAATAGATAATTCAAGCAGCAAATACTAGGGGAACTTAACAGCAAAAATCCTGTCAACTCTTTCAAAAAGCAAAAGATGAAATGTTACAGTGGGAAAAAGGTAAAAAAAATCCTTCATAACGCCAGTCTAAGCAGTCCAGAAATTAAGCCTTGATAGGTCAAGTAAGGTAGGCAGAAGCAGGCAAGCCCCGGGGGTCAGGGACTTGCAAGCACATTCGTAAGTCCCTGGGCTGGAGGGTTTCAGCCTCGCTAGGACCTTTTTACCCCCTGCACCTGCATAGCCCCTGCACACACTCAGAGGCTTACTGATACACCTTGCCTCCGATCCAGGCACTAGGACAGCTAAATTAACCACCTCACTCATCAGTGGGATCTGATTAGAAAGACCAGCCTTTGTAAGGGAAGGGGGTGGAAAAAGATGGAAGCTTCCTGTCACTGTGGATTGAACATACGGTTCTAAAATCTGACTCCTCACGAAATGACCTGGTGAGTTTTGAAGAATATCTAGGTTCCATCCCATCCCCAGAGAGTCTGCTTTAACTAATCTGAAGCTTTTAGCAAATATTTGCAACTATAAGAATGGAAATACCAGTTACTGAAAAGTCAGGGAGAAGGTTAGATAAGAGCAGATTTAGGGAGTAAGTCAAGAATTCACTTTCTTATTATTTTATTTTTAATTCTGTTATAGTTAACATACAATATATTAGTTTCAGGTGTACAACATAGTTATCTGATATTTGTATACATTATGAAATGATCACTGCAATGAGAGTTCAGTTTTGAAAATGCAAAATTCTGAGATGCTTATTAGATCTTCAAGTGGAGATGTTCAGCCTGCTGGAGTTGAAAGAAGAGGTTGGTACTATATGAATAATTTGGGAAGCAACCATTAATTGATGGGATCTAAAGCCATGAGAACTGAATGTGGATGTAAAACTCTTGAGTACTGAGCTGTGGGACACTTCAATACTTAAGAGTTTGGAAATGTGGGAAAGATCCAGCAAAGGAGACTGGGACAGAGTGGCCATTGAGGTACAAGGAAAATCAAAGAGTATAGCATTTCCAGGAAGAAAGTCCCTAGAAGAAGGTCTGTGTCAAAAGCTGAGGACTGAGAATTGACCATTGGATTTAGCCATGGGAACATGTGAAGTTACTGATACTCTTGACAAAAGTAGTAACAGTAGAATGAGAAGGAAGAAGTCTGATGGGATTGGGCTCAAGAAATAATATGACTGACTTTAGTTTCAAAATGTATACGAAACCCAATTAATACTCATCACTTCTGCTGTTACCACCTGGTCCTCCATCATCTGTGGCTTGGAACATCCCAAAAGCCCCTTCGCTGGTGTCCCTGCTCCACTTTTGCCTTCCCAAGGTCTGTTCTCCACAGAGAAACCAAAATAATTGTTTTAAAATGTAAATCTGATCAAATCACTAATCTGCTCCAAACTGTTCAATGGCTATCTCTGTACTTGGAAAAGTGCAAAGTTCACCTTATCTAGTCCGTGAGAGCCTGACTTCTTTTCCTGTCTCTCTGCAATCTCATTTCCTGTCCAGTTACCTCGTCTTCTGTCTCTGTCTCAGTCACCAACTTGTAATCACACTGGTCTCCTTGTATTTCTCAAGCACGCTAAGGAAGCCCTCACCTCAGGTCCATTGAATTTGCTGCTCTCTTGACTAAAAATTGCGTGCACTGCGAATTCCTCATTTCATCTAGGCTTCTGTTCAAATGTCCCCACATCAAAGACCGTTCCCTGTATATTCTGTCTGACTTAATGTGGCTCATTTCTATTTACCTTTTGGTCACCAGATCAAGTGTTAACTTCCTCAAAGAAGCCATCACTGACCCCTAAACTGAAGTCAAGTTACTTTGTTAGTTTCTCTTTTAAAATCATGTTTCCTTCCCATTGTTTATCCCAGCTAGCAATTATTCACTCACTGGCATGATTATGCTAGATTCTAAGCTTCCTGCAAACATTAAGTGTCCAGCACTTAACTTAGTACCTGGCAAATAGTAGATGATAAACTTGGGGAACTGAAAAGGTGAAAGACTAAGAATCAAGGAATGAACCACATTTCTGTTAAACACAATTCCAAGAAGTAGAAAGGATAATTATTTTTTATCTGTCCATTAGTTTGGAGTCATAAACTATAAAAAGTAAACATGGATGCCTAAGAGACATGACAGTTTTTTTAAATCACAAAAGCAGCAGAATCTTTAAAAAGAGGCATGCAAGAAAAAAAAAAAGTCATGCAAGAAAAACACAAAGCATACCTTTTGCTAGACTACATTTTCCCCATGTCTCATCCTTTTCTTGTACATCTGTGCAAGCAAAGACGTAACTTTACCCAGAGAGAGTTCTGGCCTTTGCTCTCAACTTCCTATAGAAGGTAGTCTGTCTAAGTGCTTGGACTGTCTTACCTGATAACCTGGTGACCTTGGGCCATGCCAGATATTCTAAAAGAGCAACGACTTAAGGTGGGGCATATATCAGCTCAACCTCCAGAGGGGCAAGGGACTAAGGTCAACCATGCAGGTAATCAAACATATCTACATGACCAAGCCCTAATTAAAACTCTGGACACCAAGGTTCAGATGGCCTCCTTGGTTGGCAATATGCCATATGTAGAGTCACACCATGACTGCTGGGAGAAGTCAGCACTGACCCATCCACTGGGAGAAGATAAATGGAAGCTCCTTGTGTAGAACTCTCCTGGGCTCTACATCATGCACCTCTCCCCTTGGCTGATTTTAATCTGTATCCTTTCACCGTAATAGGCTGTAAATGTGAGTACAACAGCTTTCAGTAAATTCTATGAGTCCGTCTAATGAATTATTGAATATGGGCGTGGTCTTGGGGATTCCAGAACCCGCACGTGAGGGTGGACTTGGGAACTCCTGAATTCTGCATAAAGGTATCCAGCTGGATGGCCTCGCACATGAACAGGTAAACTATTGTGGTTTTCTTCTTACATTCCTGATGAATCCTTCTCTAGCTCAATATTAACAAACATGAGCTTTGGAGTCAGACAGACTTGCTACCTACCAGCTCTATGATCTAGCATCTAACTCCCTAGATTTCAATTTACTCACCATTAAAATTGTAATAATCATCACATTTCCCTCACAAGAGCACAGTGATGTTTAAATGTGAAAATTCATAAAATTCAATGCCTTGCCCCCAATGAGAAATTAATAGGTGTTCCATATAGTTATTATTATTATTGGTGTGGTTACTCTCCAGTTTCCCTTCTTCCCTCATAATCCATGGATGTTGAAATTATCCAAGTTTCTCTCCTGGGTCTTTGTAGCCAAGACTGCTAGTCATTCACCAAAATCATTTTTCAGTTCTTCCTGAACACACAACTAGATCCTATTACCCAGTCTCGTTTGCAGTTAGGTGTGGCCACGTGACCAAGTTCTAACTGATGGGACATGAGCAGGAGTTGGGTGTACTGTTTTCAGATTTGGCCCATTAAAACCTCCCACATGCGTTCTTCAGTACTCTTTTCCCATACTGGTTACCTGGGAAGTTGGCCTTTGGGATGATTTTAGGAGCATTCTGATGAAGATGTAAGAGCAACTGTGGGTCTAGGTTGCTGAATGACTGTGTGGGACAGGGCCTACACCTGACCCAAACTGGGACAGTCCTGGTCTGTCACACAAATGAGAAATAAACTTCTCTTGTACTGAGGCTTTACATGTTTGAGTATATTATTTATTGCAGCCTAGTTTACACCAACGAATATGGGCCTCTTCTCTTTGCTCACAGTTTTGTCTGGATTTCCTTTCATTGTCTACTTCTACCCCCAAGTTACTTCCCATACACTGAACAGCATGTCTAATCTCTGAGCCATGGTTTCTTCTGCTCCGACATCTACTTCTGGCATTCTCTCTGATATTTTACACTGCTTTAAAATTAACTCCCTTAAAACATAGCTGTGATTATGCCTCTCTCTTACTCAGGACGCTAAAAAAAAAATCTCTATTGTTTATAAAACAAAATCTAAACTTAATCCCACATACTA